ATCACCCAGTAGGTCATGGCATAGATCATGATGTTGAAGTGAACGATCGCCATCGGCCGTTCGCATTCCTCGTCCCTCGCCCCGAGAAATCGCCCGACGGCATGCTGGGCCAGCATCCCCTCCGACCTCTTTGTGCGTCCACCAGCCCGCCTCAGAGGTAAATGCAGAGGGAACTGACGTTCGATGGGGGAGGGAGGGAGGGAGGGAGGGAGGGAGGGGAGGGGAGGGGAGGGGAGGGGAGGGGAGGGAGGGGGAGGGGGAGGGGAGGGAGGGAGGAGGAGTGGGCAGATGCCAGGGGAAGAGGGGGCGTGAGAGAGGAAGAACGAGGTGACGAGGAGAACGAGAATTGAGAGATTTGATAGAGATGTGTTGAGACGGGGTTTGTGACTGTGATGGCAGATGGCGTGCGAAGGAGGATCGTGCGGCAAGAGCAGCAGCAAACTCAACAATGGCGGGATCAGCCTCGCTGTCAGTATCATGATGATTTCTGTTTGCTTGGTATTCCTGCTGCTTTAGGCTCTCTTTGCGCAATGGAGCGCTTCGACGACTTCACTCACTCAAGCCTCTCAGACCTCGGCCTCGTCACCTACCATCGTCTTCGACGTCTACAGTGACCTCGCTTGCCCCTGGTGAGAACATGCGGAGGTGGAGGAAAGGAGTGACGTATAGGATATCTCAGGTGCTACGTCGGAAAGGTAGGAGCAAGACCTCCTTTACATGCTCTTCTTCCTCGCCCGCCTACTCGAGCTTCTCGTGCCTCGGTGACTTGTTGCTTGAAGGACAACCTGGATGCCGCCATTGCCAACTTTCGCAAGAGTGGGGGCACTGAAAACATTGAGGTTTGGAGGAGGAGGAGGAGAAGCAGGGGCAGGGGCAGGGGCAGGAGGAGACATACCTCATTTTCATATAATGGCAGGTGCACTGGAAGCCTTTCATGATCGATCCAGCGACAGCCAAAGTGATGAACGACTCTCTCCCTCTCATGCTGATGCGATCGGCAGGAGGGCGAAGAGTACATGGCGTACAACAGGAGACGATGGGGGAGTGATGGATGGACGTACAGCCTCCCGGGAAGAAGAGACAAGTATGAGAGCTACACTTGATCCTTCCTCCCCCTCCTCCTCCCCCTCCCTCCTCCTCCCCCTTCTCCTCCTTCCCTTCCTCCTCCTTCCCCTCCTCCTCCTTCCCCTCCTCCTCCTCCTACCTGGTTGCTGTTTAATATTCAAGATCATCAAAGATTATAACTGTAATACATAATCCAATGCTCTAATTGCCCCTCCAACTGTCTGGGCTCGTGCCAGGGCGGCGGGCCTGACTACAATCACCAGTCTAATGATCCTGCTAGGAGCAGGATGAAGGACGAGGTACTACCACATCAAGCCTTCGT